CCGCCGCCGCCGCCGCCGCCGCCGCCGCGGAACAGCGCAGTCGCTTCGAATACCCCCCACCGCCGGTGAGCCTGGGAAGCAGCAGCCACGCCGCGCGGCTGCCCAACGGTCTGGGGGGTCCCAATGGCTTCCCCAAACCGGCCCCGGAGGAAGGACCCCCAGAGCTCAATCGCCAGAGTCCCAATTCGTCCTCGGCGGCGGCGTCGGTGGCGTCTCGACGCGGGACGCATGGTGGGCTAGTGACGGGGTTGCCCAACCCGGGGGGTGGTGGAGGGCCCCAGCTCACCGTGCCCCCCAATCTGCTGCCACAGACGCTGCTTAACGGACCTGCCAGTGCCGCTGTGCTGCCCCCACCGCCGCCCCACGGACTAGGCAGCCGGGGCCCCCCGACGCCCGCGCCCCCAGGGGCTCCCGGGACTCCTGCTTGTCTCGGGGGCGCGGCGGGCGTGTCGGTCGCGTCGTCCTCGGCGTCGTCTTCGACCTCGGCGTCGGTGGCGGAGGTGGGCGTGGGTGCCGGTGGCAAAAGGCCGGGTTCGGTGTCGAGCACGGACCAGGAGCGCGAGCTGAAGGAAAAGCAGCGTAACGCCGAGGCCCTGGCCGAGCTGAGCGAGAGCCTGCGCAACCGCGCCGAGGAGTGGGCCAACAAGCCTAAGATGGTCCGCGACACACTGCTCACGCTGGCTGGCTGCACGCCCTACGAGGTGCGCTTCAAGAAGGACCATTCACTTTTGGGCCGCGTCTTCGCTTTCGACGCTGTCTCCAAGCCCGGTATGGACTACGAGCTGAAGCTGTTCATTGAGTACCCCACGGGCTCGGGCAACGTGTACTCCAGCGCGTCTGGTGTGGCCAAGCAGATGTACCAGGACTGCATGAAGGACTTCGGCCGGGGGCTCTCTTCTGGCTTCAAGTACCTGGAGTACGAGAAGAAGCATGGCTCGGGGGACTGGCGCCTGCTGGGGGACCTGCTGCCTGAGGCCGTGCGCTTCTTCAAGGAGGGCGTGCCGGGTGCCGACATGCTGCCCCAGCCCTACCTGGACGCCAGCTGCCCAATGCTGCCCACGGCGCTAGTGAGTCTAAGCCGCGCCCCCAGCGCGCCGCCCGGAACCGGGGCCCTGCCGCCTGCTGCCCCGTCGGGCCGGGGCGCAGCCGCCAGCCTTCGCAAAAGGAAGGCATCCCCCGAGCCCCCCGACTCGGCCGAGGGTGCTCTGAAGCTGGGCGAGGAGCAGCAGAGGCAGCAGTGGATGGCGAACCAGAGCGAGGCACTCAAGCTCACCATGTCGGCTGGGGGCTTTGCGGCGCCGGGGCACGCGGCCGGGGGACCTCCCCCGCCCCTGGGACCCCATTCCAATCGGACCACCCCACCCGAGTCAGCCCCCCAGAATGGCCCATCCCCTATGGCTGCTCTCATGTCGGTGGCAGACACTCTGGGCACGGCGCACTCGCCCAAGGATGGCAGTTCTGTGCACTCCACCACCACGTCCTCGCGGCGTAACAGCAGCAGCCCCGTGTCTCCGGCCTCTGTGCCTGGGCAGCGCCGCTTGGCATCTCGTAACGGGGACCTGAATTTACAGGTGGCGCCCCCGCCACCCACCGCCCACCCGGGCATGGACCAAGTGCACCCTCAAAACATTCCAGATTCTCCCATGGCTAACAGCGGGCCCCTCTGCTGTACCATTTGTCACGAACGTTTGGAGGACACACATTTCGTTCAGTGCCCATCCGTCCCCAGCCACAAATTCTGTTTCCCTTGCTCTAGAGAGAGTATCAAGGCCCAGGGGGCTACCGGCGAGGTGTACTGCCCCAGCGGAGAGAAATGCCCCCTAGTCGGGTCAAATGTACCTTGGGCCTTCATGCAGGGTGAAATCGCGACTATCTTAGCCGGAGATGTTAAAGTGAAAAAGGAGAGAGACCCTTGAACCACAGGACAGCCACTTCCTTTGCCCTAGACCAGCTCCTCTCCAATCCAGAGGGCCCCTTCCCCATCCATCTCCAACCCTCCCTCTCTTCTTCACCCCCAAGATGTAGAATTGTGAATATAACAAACTGCAAAAAGTTAGTCTTATGTATAGACATTATTTTCGTCGTATGTTTCTATATTTTGAAACAAAGGTATGTAACTTCTTCATTTGAAGGATAAGCTGGTTTGTGTTACACAGTATAATATTGGTTGGGTCATTTGCATCATATTCGTTTGCATTTATTTGGTGGCAGAGTGTTTGTCTAGGTACAGAATTAACAGCCCTTAGCAACGACTGCTGCTGGTGTGTATTTTTTAAATGTTATGCACTCTGAAAGGAAAAACACACAGAAGAAAAAGACTTTTTCCCCCAAGGCCAGTGTTGCTGCCTAAAGAAGAAAAAAATTACTATAAAAAATGGTGAAAGCTTCTTTCTAAGCGCCCCAGTGTCAAGTCTTCACTTACTTTGTTTTGTTTTGTTTGTTTTTTATGTTTTGTTTGCAAAATGGTGAGGGGAGTGTTGGGGGGGGCAGGGGTGTTTTTTGTTGCAAGTTTGTGAGGGAAATGTTTCGGTTTGTTTCTACTGATCTGAATGTGTTGGATCTTCACGTGTGGTTTTGTTTTTGCTTTATTGATGCACGGATGCTTTCGAACAGTAGAGCGAAATGCTAGACGGAGAATCTGCGCTGTCTGTCCTTTATACATTTCTGTAGTTAACAGAACACTGTAATGTGCCTTGGAGCTTAGTAACTTGTAATAAATTCAATTGGTATTAATTTTGCCCTGAGTCAGCAAGTTTGTCTTTCTAGGACTGAGGCCACATAGCTCCAACAAAGGGGCACCCTCCCCGCCTCCAACACACAACACAAATGCCAGCGCCTTGAAAGCCCTCTGAGGTGGCATCTGTAGAAAGCCCTGTGCTGCCTGCCCCTCCCCCTTGGTAGCAGACTATTGACATTCACCCCTTGGGGAGTCGACAGTTGCTGACTAAGCAAACTCTGTTTACTCTCTGCATCTCTCTTTGACCCCCGCCCCGCCCCGGAAGCACCGCCGCTGCAACTGGCCTGGTCAGGAATGCTTTCTGGTGCCTGGCACTGTGGCCCGGAGTGTATGTTGATACTAGTGCAACTACGACTTGTGCAAGTGGGCAAAAAAAATCTAGAAAGAACTAGGGCCACACTTTGCCTCTTAGATGTGGCAGATATCACGACTTTACTGCACATGGAAAACAAAAATGCCACAGAGCTGGGAGCTATAGGTGGAGTAGAGGAGGGGTGTGGGCTACTGGGAAGCAAGTGGTGGTACCCAGCCCCGAGGGGTCCCTATAGCTCACAGCTGATACACTGGAAAAGCAGTTTTCAGCTCATTACATGCCCCTCCCCCAAATTTCTCTCCCTTTTGGTAAGTCTTTCTAAAAGCACCATACTTAGCTGAACAGAAGGTTCGTAGGGATGGGAAAGGGAGCCAGGAAAAAAAGTTCCTAAGGCAAAGGTCGTTTACGACAGCAAATCTATCTCTACCGGTGAAGAGATGCAATTATTCATCTAATCCACTTTTTGGCGGCATTTGGGAGAGGCGGAGGAGGGACGGGACTGGAATGCCTTTTAGAGCCCCGAGCCCCCTAGGCTGAGACCAGACGAACCCTCCCAGAGCTAGGGCAAGGCAAACAAAACCCGATTTGAACCTTGTGCTTTCCTGGGAGGCAAATGGAAGAAGAGTAGAAAACAGAAGGGAGGAAGCAAAACAAAACCCGGAGATCCTATCTGAGAGCCATTCCTGGCCACACCCCGTTCCTGGGCGGGGCAAACCGAGGCTGCTGGAGCCCAACCCAGGAAAAGAAATTAGCGGAGATGGGGCTCGCGCACCCTACCCACATCCAAGAGGGAGCGGAACGGTGGGGAGGAGGGTGTGGGCTCCGGCATGTTTCGGGAGAAAAATCACTTGTTAGCCCAGAATACTGGTGTAGAGGTTGAGTTGGTGTTAGGACTTGATGTTAATAACACCCTTTCAGTTTCTGTTCCTACTTTACCACCACAATCATTCAAGTGATGGAAACCATGACTGTGTGTATGTGTGTGTGTGTGTGTGTGTTTCGGGGTGTGGATAAGTGGCAATTGATGGATCTGCTGCAGCCTCTTAATCCTGGAACATGGGAGGTGCTTGTTTCACCTCGTTAAGAATCTCCCCAAATATAAATAGTTATGTGTGTCAGCTTCCTGCAAATGTGTCCTTGCATTTTCATCTGCTGCCAAACGTTGTATTGGTGCTTATGAGTCATGAAACCTATTTTCGTCCTCAGGGGTAATTAACTTGGGGGTGATAAGGCATAGCAGACTGTAGGAAGAGTTAATTCTAAAACCCATCTTGCCTGGCTACCAATCACACATTTCACTTAAAGGCCTGGGTTGGCTTTTCTCATAAGCTCATTAATAAAAAGGGAGCCTGTTTCGCCTGGAACATCCTCCAAGGTGCTCCCAGCCCAGTCACTGCACACACTCTTCAAATGGGTAAAGCTCAGCAGCCTGAGAACAGATAGAGTGTCACGGGTATAATTAAACCACCATCAAGTAAAGGAGTGGTGAGTGCAGCCATAGTTTGTACCATGCATTTGAACTTGGATGTGTGGGTTACCCATCCAGGTTTGGACCCTATGGGTACTGAGCTGTGGCTCCAACCGGGAGTCGGCCCTGTTACCTATCTGCCTGCAGCCGCTTCTTCATTGCTGTGGTATTAGGTTCAGCAACTTTTAGGATTATAAGACCCTTGATTTTGTGCACCTACACAGGATAGGGGGATCTGTCATGAAGAGCTGGGAACTGTATCGTTTTCTTCCTCTTCTTGTTGCTGGGTGCTATTATTAGCAGAAGCTGTAGTTGTAATAATGAGGCTTTCAGCAAAGGTGGCCAGTTTGGTTTCACTAAGGAGGCCTGGCCTGACAGACCTGGGAAAGCAGGGAGGGAGAGAGTGGGAGGGAAGGAGTGGGGTAGGGTGGAACTCTGGCTGGAAGTGAATTATAATAGTGCAGTTAATTAAAATTTACCATAGCCAGCAGCCATTTGTGAAATGATGGCTCCCCCCGCCTTTTGTGTGTGTGTGTGCTGTGCGAGCCATTTAACCTTTCTCTTGCTCGAACCCATTCAGCCGCTGGCTTGGTTTCCTTCACTAGTCGCCTTTGATCTCTCAGCTAGATTCCCCCTTTCCTGACTTTCCACCTTAGACATCTAGGAAGGCTTCCTCTCTGCAATGGGAGGATTACTGTGGGTTTCAGACCTCAGTCTCCCGAGGAGCTTGGACTTCATTTCTCTCCAATTCACCCTGGATCTTCCCACCCTGTTTCCCATCCTTCTCACTCCCTTCCCTCTCAGTGCCAACGTCAGGACCATTTAAAACCTGTGTTATGTTTAAAACACACTGCTTGTTCAGTTAATTAAGGCTGGCTGTTTCTTTAAATGGGTGTAAGGAGCTCTGGTAGTGTAGTGCCTAAGGCACTTGACTGCTAACCAGGAGGCTGATGGTTCAAACCCACCAGCCACTCCTCGGAAGGAAGGTTGGGCAATCCTACTTCCGTAGTGATAACTGCCTCGGAAACCCAAGGAGGGGTCGCTAGGGGTCAGGGCGACTCATGGCAAATAACAACAACAACAGGGAGCAGGGCAAAGAAGACTTAATCCTGTAGTTTTTAGGGAATAGGCTGGTGAGGTCATTTCTTGACCTTGATTTTAGAGGGCTGCACCTTAGAAGACGCACCAAACACCAAAACCAAACTCATTGCCATTGAGTCGAATCCCAGGCAGTATCACTAAGGAAGTAGATTGCCCATTTTTCCTTCCAAGGAGTGGCTGGTGGGTTTGAACTGCCAGCCTTCTGGTTAGCAGTCAATGCCTTAGGTACTACGCCACCAGAGCTCCCTGAAGACGCACCAGTGAATCCAAAAGTCCTGCATTCCCACGGGACCTGTTCTTGCTGATGTGCATGTCTTAGTTGTTTACATGTAAGATTCTTAGATACATTTTCACATGCACTGACTTTCAACCCAGACTGGTTGAAGTAATGAGTATTGAAAGTGACCCTTAAAGTTATCTAGCAAAATGGTTTCTAAACCTTACTGGAGCCAAGGACCCTTAGAAAACCTCATGAGAATTATGGATCGTCTCCCAGAAAAATACACATGGATCTGTATACATTTTCTTTTTTAATATAAATTTTTATGTATTCATTTTTTTAATAGGTAAAACATTCCTTTAGTTCAAACTTCAAAAGTTGCCAAAGGGAATACGGTGTGACTTAAACTTTTCCTTTCTGCAATTGGCCCGCCTGCCACCCGCTTCCATTGTGGGACAAAACCAGTGTCATCCTATTTTTAAAGGGATTCATACACATCTAAAGGCCATCCATGGGCCTTAAGGTTAGAACCCCAGGGTCTAATCCATCCACCTCATAAAGATAAGGACTCCAAGGCACAGAGAAGTGAAGCAACTTGCTCAAGCTCACACAGTAGCAGAGCCTGGGAACAGCTAACAGTTTCCTATTAGGGAACAACTCTAATGGGCATTGAGAAAAAAAAAAAATTAAGGACACGTGGCTTCACTAGTGCTTCATATGAGAAGGGGTGATGACAAGGTCTCAGGGCAGTAGATTAGCGAGTACCTGGTGGACAGGGTTCAGTGTTTTTACTAAATCTTGGAAGACTGTGAAAAAGTATTTGTTCCTGGTTCTCTTTTGCAGCCATGCCCTTTAGGAAGGTTGATGTTCCAAGAAGGTTTTAGGTTTCTGGCTGTCAGTGTCTTGTAGGCCTGAGCTAGTGGAGTCTTTTCTTAACCTTTCAGCTATGGGCCTTCATGACAACTCTTTTGTTGAATGGAAACTTTGCAAGGTTTAAAGACAGGTATATAGGCAATTGGATCCAAAGCCAAGAGGGATCCTTCCCCTGAGCTTAGGGCTTCTCCACCTCACATCTCTGCCTGCCCATCCCTCCCCTACTGCTAAAGGGAACTAATGACATTCAGTACTTCAAGGTGCCTGCCTGAGAGAGGTACATGATCCATTCCATCTTCAGGCCAGCCATGAGGAGGGTATGATGATTCCATTTTACAGATGTGTCAACTGAGCTCTGAGAGGGTAAATACTCAAGGCCATTCAAACCCACTTCAGTTCAGGCCTCCGTCAGCTTAGAGCCCAGGTTCTTTGGCAGGACTCTCTGCTGCCTTTTGCAAAGGGCCTGACTTCTTATCTTCTGGCCTAGGACACTGAAGCTCAGAGATGGAGCCCCATCTCCCAGCACTCGAAATCTCCCCAGAGTCTCAGTCTGAGCCTACCAGTGCCGTTGAGCAACACTGCCTGAAGGAGA